GTTGTGTTAGTAAGGCAGGACCTGATCTACAAGACTGGATTGTGTCCTGAGGCAATCTCTTGAGATATAAAAGACAGAAGTGAGCAGTGAGACAGGGGGACTTCATACCATCAAGAAAGCAGTGCCAGGAGCAGAGTGCGTCCTTCGGACTGGGGTCCCTGCGCGGAGAAGCTCCTAGTCTGGGGGAACACTGATGAGAAGGCCGAGAGAGATAAAGCCTTCCCCTGGAGCTGACACCCTGAATTTGGACTTTTAGCCTACTTTAACTGTGAGGAGATAAACTTCTCTTCATTAAAACCATCCACTTGTGGTGTTTCTGTTATAGCAGCACGAGATGACTAACACAGTATTTCTAACAATTATTCAGCTTATCCTGTTGAGCTTTTTTGGTTGAGAAGAATAATATCTGCAAGTAATGATCATTGTATATTTTATTTTATAAAATTATACCTCTTAAAAAAATTTTAATACCAAAATAGCATCGGCTGGGATTTTCAGAAGGCCATTCTGTAGTGGGAAGAGTTGACAGCCTTATCTTGTTCCTGATTTTTGTGAGAATAACTATAAGGACAAAATTGGCAGTTGTCAGGAAATATGTATTATTCTTCATATTAAGAAAGTACTCTTATATTTTTAGTTTGCAATTATTTTTAATTAGAAATGGATTTTAAATTTTATTTGATGTGTTTGGGGCAACTCTGTTGTTGTTAGGTGCTGTTGAGTTGGTTCCCACTCATGATGACCCTATGTATGACAGAATGAAATACTTCACAGTCCTGCGCCATCCTCACAATCGTTATTATGCTTGAGCCCATTGTTGTAGCCACTGTGTCAGTCCATCTTGTTGAGGGTCTTCCTCTTTTTCGCTGATCGTCTACTTTACCAAGCATGATGTCCTTCTCCAGGGACTGATCCCTCCGGCTAACTTGTCCAAAGTATGTGAGATGTGGTCTTGCTATCCTTGCTTCTAAGGAGCATTCTGGCAGGTTTTCATTGATAATTCTTTTCAGAAGTAGACTGCCAGATCCTTCTTCCTAGTCTGTTTTAGTCTGGAAGCTCAGCTGAAACCTGTCCGCCATGGCTGATCCTGCTGGTATTTGAATACCAGTGGCATAGCTTCCAGCATCAGAGCAACACGCAAGCCCCCACAGTACAACAAACTGACAGACGCTTGAACCTATTGTTGCTGCCACTGTGTCATACCATCTCTAGAAATACTGATAATTTTTTTCCATCAATCCATTGTTGCATTCCCCAAATAAGTTTTAAACTTAGGATATAATGCTTAGTGCTTTTTTTCCATATATTTGTCCATATCCATAAATGAGTTTGAAACTAATTTCAATTTCATTTTGTGACATTATTGTCAAATTTTTATATTAGGTTTATACTACCTTGGTATTGGTTATCTTTGAGCTTTTGAAGAATGTGTATCTGTGGTTATATTTCTCTCTATAGTCATAATTTTCTATACCTTTGCTCTCTTTCTTTCTTAATTATGCTTTCCAGGGACTTGCTATTATTGTTGTTAGGTGCCATTGAGTCAATTTCGACTCATAGTAACACCCTGTGACAGAGTGGAATTGCCCCATAGGGTTTTCTAGGCTGTAATCTTTATGGGAGCAGATTGCCAGATCTTTCTCCCGTGGAGCCTCTGGGTGGGTTTCAACCACCAACCTTTTGGTTAGCAGCCTAGCACTTAAACATTGTGCTACTAGCACTCCTTAGGGACTTGCTAGATGTTAGTTAATTAATTAATTCTAAAACCCAGCTTGGAATTAATTCATAAACTTACCATTTTTGAAAATTTCATTTTATATTTATTGCTTATTGTTATTTTCCACTGATCTGCTTTTTAATTTTTTTTTTAAAACTGAAACTAGTTAACCTTTTTTAATGGTGGAACAGCAAAGAGCATTAGCCCCTGCTTCCCACCATTGCAGACTCTCCTGAGTTTCCAGTAATTATAAATCTCTTTCTTGTTTAAAAAATGCAGCCTTGCTGCATATACATAAAATCACTTCCGGGTAGAATTGCAGATTCAAAATTCAGTGATAAATGAAGAGGGAGAATCCCTATCATTTCCTCATTTCCTCTTTGAGCACTAACTTGTCAAAACCAAAATGTGCTTACTGGGTATGATTTAGGTGTCATCTTTTGGGGACCTTTGTTTTCTGTTTACAGATATCGCTGTGGTGGAGATGAGTGATGCCTTCCGGCAGCCATCCTTGTTTTACCACCTTGGGGTGAGAGAAAGTTTCAGCATGGCCAACAACATCATCCTCTACTGTGATACTAACTCAGACTCTCTGCAGTCACTGAAGGTACCTCACTTATTTCCTCAATGTTTAAGTTTGGTGCTACATTTCAAGGATACTTGGCTGCCATCCAAAAAATTTTATGTAGCTTTTGTTTGTAAAGGGCTGTTTTTGTCAGTCTGATAATTGTGCAGCAATTACTAGCTAAGCTGTGAGGTTTATCTAACATTCAATGTAGAAATTTGATGATCCACAGGTAGGTAAGCACTTAGAGTTGAATTCTGAGTTCCAGTTCAGTTGAGGCGTTGCAGCTGAGGAGGCTGTGTTAATAGGAAGTCATCACTAGGCACAGTGGACAAGGAAAAGGAGATTGCATTAGGCATGGTTAGGCCTCATGCAGTGTCACCATAGCGGATTTCATTGGGCACACTTGTCTCAACTAGAAATACACGTCCTACTGAAAGTCTTCTCTCTCTGAGTAGCAACTCTCACCAGAAAATTGGCATCCTCTTTAACTATGTTTTTTTTATTATTATTAAATTTTTTTATTGTTAAGATAAGGAGCCTGGTGGCACAAGAGTTAAATGCATGGCTCCTAACCAAAAGGTTGGTCATTTGAACCTATCCAGCACCTCTGAGAGATAAAGGCCTGGCAATCTGTTCCTGTAAAGATTTCAGCCTAGAAAACGCTATGGGGCAGTTCTTCTCTGTCACAGGGGGCCTCTATGAGTTGAAAATCGATTCAATGGTCCCTAACAACAACACCAAAAAAAAATATAGATAACACCACATTAGCCAATTCAACATTTTTCATGTATACAATTCAGTGAGCTTAATTACGCCGATCATGTTGTACAACCATCACCAATGTCCTTTGCCAAATTTTTCATCCCCCTAAACAAAAACACAATGCTTTCTGAACAATAATTCTCCCCAGTCTCCTTCCCTCCTGCCCCTAATAACCACTGTTAAACTCTGATCTATATACATTTACAATTCTACGTACTTCATATTATTGAGATCACATACTATCTGTCCCTTTGTGATTGACTCATTTCATTCAGCATGTTTTCAAGGTTCAGTTATTATGGGAGGAGGGCAATAAAACTTGCTGAACTTGTCTACAAAATTCAGCCTGTCCCAATTTCATTATCTCCATTAATAGGAACTTACTGATATGAAGGCATTTCCTCCACTTAAGAAGGTTGCCTAACAGGCTTTTGCCAAGCCAAGTGATTTTACCCTGTGTGATTCTCAGAAAGGCATGAGTTCAGTGAACTCATGCTGAGCCTGATACCATCCAATTCCTTTTGTGAAACTTCAAGCTAGCTTCATGTGGCTTTTTTTCATCTGCAACTTGAAGTTCCCAAATCAAAGCCGACCTTGGAACATAGAGCCCTAGAATCCAGAGCCTTATTTCTAATTGGTATATGAAGATTTCTAACCCAAAACCCAGGTAACACAGTTTTTAGTAGATTTTGCTTTTGTCTGCGTATCTAAAGCACGTGTAGCTTTCTCTGCAAAACCTGCAGAATTTCATTTAGCAAATATGTTTATTGCATGCCAGACGTTGTGCTGGGGTTTGATAGGCATATATCCCTTTTCAGAATGCTCTGAAATAGTTGTAAGAGATTTGCCTACTCTGTCTAAGTCTGTTTTTAACTGGAGTAACCCTCTAAGAAACCTCTTCTTAATTTCCCCCCGGATTTCTTCCTTTAATTAATACATCTTAAAGCTTTGTGACAGTGTAAATTTTTATTGTGGTAAAAAATATGTATAATGACACTTGCCAATTCAACATATTTTACATGTATAAGTCAGTGACACCAATGACATTAATCATGTTGTGCGAGCACCATCATTTGTTGTTGTCAGATACTGTCAAGTTGATTCCAACTCATAGCAACCCTATGTACAACAGAATGGAACACTAGCTGGTCCTGCACCATCCGCACAATCGTTATTATGCTTGAGCCCATTGTTGCAGCCACGGTGTCAGTCCATCTCGTTGAGGGTCTTCCTCTTTTCTGCTGACCCTTTATGCGTGATGTCCTTCTCCAGGGACTGGTCCCTCCTGATAACATGTCCAAAGTACATGAGACAAAGTCTTGCATCCTTGCTCCTAAGGAGCACTCAGACTTATTCGTTCTTCTGGCAGTTCATGATATAGTCAATATTCTTTACCAATGCTATAATTCAAAGGCATTGATTCTTCTTCAGTCTTCCTTATTCATTGTCGTTGCCAGATTTTCCATCACCGTAAACTGATACTGAATGCTTCCTACCTCAGCACTTCTGTAACAGTGTAGTTCTAATTAAACATTTTGATTTGCTGCTATTTACGGCATATGTTAGTAGTTGATAAAGGAGTGAGATTATTTTATTTATTCTTTGCCTTCTTCATTTTTCTTTGGATTAAATTTATTTTCAAAAGTCAGTGTTATGTTCGAGGTTTTTCACTCTGCGCTATTTTTGCTCTTGCCCTACTGGTATCTGACAATTTAATTTTATGGTCATTCTTTCCTTATTAGAAGTTTCTATGGGACAAAGAAACTGGTTTGTTTAATTGTTTTCGGCCGGTCTCTGTACAGGAGTGTTATTGGTACTTGAGTAAAGTAGTTGTTTAAAATGACAAGTAATACCTAAAATGTACTCATTTATCTTAAAAATAATAGCAGCTTGTCGTTGAACACTTACTACTTGCTAGGTACTGTGTGCTTTACTCGCATACACTGTTACATTTAATTCTTAAAACAGCCCTATAAGGTACGTATTCTATCACCATTTTATAGAATAGCAAACAGAGGCTCAAGCAAATTCAGTCATTTGCTCAAGGTGATATAACTAGTAAAATTTGGGTTCAAATCTGCCTGACTCCAAAGCCTGTCCCCCTTAACCGCTAAGCTTTATTGCCCATTACTTCTAGTTGGAGGTATATCAGACATTCCTGCGTAGTTCCTTTAGAAAAACCCATCAACTATACCTCTTGAATTGTTCCATGAAACATACATCCTTTCTTTCTTTTCTCTTCTCCTTCCATTTACTTATATCAGTTTCTGCCAATTCATGGTAACCCCATGTATGTCAGAGTAGAACTGTGCTCCACAGGGTTTTCAATGGTTGATTTTTCTGAGGTAGATCACCAGGCCTTTCTTCCGAGGCACCTCTGGGTAGATTGAACCTCCCACCTTTTGGCGCGTTAACTGTTTGCACTACCCAGAGACTGCTTCATTTACTTAGACTTTGCCATTTCTTTATTTAGCTTGTTTCTAGCCAAATAGGCCATGGTGACTGACTGCAGAGGGCAGAGATATCTGAAGTAGAAAGTGTTTTTTTCAGTCTAACAATTTTATCTGAGTTCCAGAAGTCCCTCAGACCCTCTGCTACTGAGAAAAGTCTGTGTGTGTTTTAAGTTTATTTCTCTTCCAGTTAGTTGATAACTTCTGTTATTCCTACCAGAAAGGAAAACTGCAGTGAAATAAAGTGGAACCAAAGCTATTTATAAATAACATATCTTGTAAGGATTTGTCAAATCAAATAAAAAAGAAGCATCTCATTGTTTTTACAGGGGCAAGGACAGGATTAGAATGTTATTCTTGTCATGTATCCAGCTTTACTTAGGTTAATTCCTTGGAAGTCTAAAAAGTACAGCTGCATCAGTTTTATTTTCATCTACTGTTTTTTGTTGAAGAGAAGCAATTTCTTTTTGACAGGATATTTTCAGGAAGAAAGCATAGAAAAATATATAAATACATATTTTAAGTTTATACTCCTTGAAGAATAATTGATAGAACTATAAAAGTACTATTAAAAATCTATGTCTGAGTTTTTATTTTAGAAAAGATTTTTAGAATCTAATCAAATCGTACACTTGCAATAAGATTTATATTCATTGTTTAAATCATAAGTTCTACCTTATTCTAGTAAGAATGAAATAATTTTTTTCAAAAAAAGATGATCATTGCACTTCAAGAGAAGGAAGTTGATAGAGATTATTTTTTTTAAACCTTGTAACAATCCAATTTTCTTCATCTCATGTCCTTATAAATGTCTGTTGAGAGAGATTCTATGCTGGGATTTACCTTTGCTTGAAAATAGTAAAATGCTAGTAACAGTCCTTTTCTGATTCATTTGATGCATTATGGAAATAATCAGGCCTCTGCTTGGGGTCTCTCAGTAAATGAGGAGAGAAAGTCAGACAGTATGGGCCAATGAGCTGTGGTGTAGATACATGTAACACCTCTGAAGGGCTTGGGAGAAATGAATGGCTGCTGTGTAGAGTGAGGTCTTAATGAACCATTTCTTCTGTCACCTCACCAGGAATTCCTTTATAACAACAGCTTTCAATTCCAATTCTTGTGATCCTCTCCCACCAACTTTGGCTCCCTCTCTTCCTCATGAAAACAAAGCAAAACAAAACAATGAAATACCGCTACACACCATGAGATAGTCAACAATTAAAAGCCCTGATAATAACCTACAGCAAGGCTGTCGAGACTGGGAAACTTATACACTGCTAGTGGGAGTGTATATATTGGTACTACCTGTTTTGTTTTTTTTTAATTGTTGTAATTAAATGTTAAATGCAATTACAAGTTAGTCTCCTATACAAAATTTTTTTAAAATGCATTGTTATGAGACCCTAATTGCTCACCCCATTCTATGACAGCGCGCTCCTCCTTTCCGCCTCTTATTCCCCATGACCATTCAACCAGCTCCTAACTCTCTCTTCCTTCCCATCTCACCTCCGGACAGAAGCTGCCCCTTTGGTCTCTTGTATATACTTGACTAAGAGGCACACTCTTCACGAGTATCACTTTATGTCCCACAGTCCAGTCCAATCCCTGTCTGAAGAGTTGGCCTCGGAAATTATTTTAGTTCTGGGCTGATAGAGAGTCCAGGGGCCGTGCTTTCCAGGACGCCTCCAGTCTCAGTCAGACCGTTAAGTCTGGTCTTCTTACTAGAATTTGAGTTCTGCACCCCATCCTTCTACTGCTCCATCAGGGACCCTCTGTTGTGTTCCCTGTCAGGACGTTCATTGGTGGTAGCCGAGCACCATCTAGTTC